GCTAGCCGGAATTAAACCACGACACAGGCAAAAGTGCCGCCGTCTTCTGACCAATAGGAAGAAAAAGATAAACTGTGAAGTTGAGCAAATATTTATAGTTCTTGCAGCTCGAACCCTTCGAACTCCAATCAACCCCTGCTGGAACCTGAGCAGCCACCGCTGCTGTCCCTGCGCACTGCTCAGGTCGGCAGACCACCTCGCCCGTCGGGTCTGGACCTGCCAGCGCCCTGCCCACCCCAGTGCCATGTGGCTGCCCCTTCCCAGTTAGCAAGAAGAGACACACGAGCTCACCTATCACTCGCTGGTTGAAGTAATCCGGCAGCATTCGCTCACACACAGCAACCAGCAGCCAGAAGGCTTCTTCCTCTTTGGCATACAACAGCAACACGGAGGTCAGAATATTCATGGACTTACAAGGGCAAAGAAGAAAATGAGATTTGTTAGTGACAGCAAATCCTACTGATGAAAGCTAAACTGTAGCTATTTTTAAAGAAAAGAGTCTAACATGGTGTAAACAATGAAAAAACCCAGCATGAGAAAGGTAATAGACAGTGAATACATAATTGCAACCCAAAGGCATAAGTTTTTCCAAATTTATACCCTGCTTTTCCTAAGAGCAATAGGAAACAATGGAGAAAAGCAGTGCTGGATTTGCCCAGACACAAAGCAGGTCACTGACAGTGCAAGATGTTTTGGGGCTGCTTTCCCGCCCTTCCTGTACCTGGACTGGTCTGATGGACCTCAGAACTCAGGGAGCTGCACAGAATTATTTTAGTTGGCCAGCTGGGCGAAGTAATTAACAATTTGTCATTAATTTTGGAAGAAAGGAGCAGAACTTCAGTTCATTAAACCTCCGTCCCAGTGGTCTGTGTGAATCTCATCGGTGCAGGTCAGTTTACTTTGCACTGCCTCCCAAGTATTGGGTGAGAAATGCACTTTCGAGCAAACAGAAGCATCAGAAACTTTGTTTTTCTTCCTTTAACTCTAAATGCAGTTTGTAAAATGCTGAGGGAAGATTTCTGTTAAGCCAGAGTACCAGCCTACGCTCTTGTCTTCCAGAGTAAATGACATTAAGTATGTAAAATCATGTACTTTTCATAACTACAAAGACATTAATTATCAAATCCACCAGGGAAAATACTCCCAACACAACTCTCCAACAAAACTGAGGCAGAAAAAAGAGGAAGAAAAGCAGCGAGCGTGCCACCGCTGGGGCCTTCTCACCTGGCAGTATCCTATCTTGGGGTTCCTGTGCGCATAGGCGGTGAGCACCCTTCGCAGGGCGGCTATCCCCGTCTCGCTCTGGAAGGCGGGGTGCTCGGGCAGCGAGCGGTGGAGGTCACGCTCAATCTCCTCCGTCGCCATACAGCACTTGCCCATGGATGCCTCTACCAAATGGATGTAGTAACCGGGATGGGAGGCGAGATCCGTCACAGCGTCTGATGGCAGCAGGGAGAGAGAAAGAGGAAGTCATGAGTGGATTAGGACAATGCTAAACTTAGAGTATTACTGCTGGAAAAGATGTAAGCATGATGGTTTCCCCCAGGATCCGTGAATTTAATGAAATCTCCATACCTGAAAGAAACGAGTCCTAGCGGAATACGTGTCTTGAAGATAAAATCAATATTAGCAAATGTATACGATGCAACATCATTCACAACAGCTTAATACTGACACTGAGCAGAAAACTTCCCCAGCAGAAAGTATTACTGGGAAAAATGGACTCAGCACCGTTCACACCCTCCAAGGAGGAAAAACTCCACATGAAGAAATACTTCTTACAAATGTTTGAACATATCACATACTGGCTTAAGGACTAAACTTGGGGTCATATTGTAAGCACATTCTGGCTCTGCCAGATCCGTGGATGAAACCAGTTGTTTTTTCCATCTGCAGTTTCGATTACCCCTGCCAACATTCAACAAGAAGCAGGAGCAGGACTTCTGACTTCAAGATGTCATTACTTCGCAGTAATTTGATTTGTCTGGGGTTAAATCAGTAACTATGCTACAAGCTAATTGTTGCTTGAAGACAAGTATTATTACATGAAAACATGACGTTAATTTTAAATTGCACAGATGAAGAAGATGTTATTTCAGTTCTTCTGCACATCACATCATATTATCCAGAAATAAAATTGCTACGGACCTACCTAGGTACTTCCTTGCACTTATTAGTTCAGTGGATGATCCTCTCTCTGCTGTAAGCACTATCCTAAGCTCCATATAAACAATATTTAATTGCCCTTGGGAGATTTCTTGCCTAAATGTTTTGCCATGTTCAGAATCAGATGATGCCTACAGCCAACATTTCTGAGAGTGCCCACCTGAGAAGAGCAGCCAGAGTTTGCCTCTTAAGGATTCGGGGATTCCCATTGCAACAAGTTTTCTGATCTTCTCTGTGCGAAACATGCACACCGTTCTGCCGTATTCTACAAAATGGTCATTCCACAGACTCTCTTTGATTTGCTCCCTAGACTGGGAACAAAAAGAGATCCTTTAGAAGAACAAAATGTGCGCATGTGAGAACTGGTAAACAGAAACATTTTACATATTGGAAATTCTGCAAGGTTATTTCCATTCCTGATGCATATGTGAAAACTGCTCTAAGGACTACAGCTGCAATTCTCCACACAGAGGAGAGCAGAACTGATCAGACAGGGAGAAAAATTATAAATATTCACCAGAAAGAAATTGGAAGGTAAGGAGAAAAAACTCCAAGCAAATAGAAAAGCCTTTATCCCATATCTAACTTCTCTAGCCAATACAGAGATCATTTTACTCAAAATGAGTTTGTGCTTGAATGTCACTCTAGCTTTTTATTTAAAATAAAAACAACCCTCCTACAACTTCCCTCGAATGTTACATACCTTTCCAAAATCAAGGCCCGTCATTCCTGACTGATGAAAGTCCGACATAAGTGCTTCTGCACTGAGCAAATAACTGCTCTCCTTTCCGCGTTCGCTTCCCTCCATGCCTTGGGACGCCTCTGCTCCCAGACACGCAGGCTCATCATCCCTGAGCATGCACATGGATCCAAGGGCAGGAGTGTTCTGCAACACAGAACCAAAGCGGTAACGACTGAGAAGAGGTTAGGAACTACATCCTCAGGTGTTTTCAGAGCTGGGTTAGCCTCTGCCTTTTGCCTCAAAACGTTTCACACCTTATGGGAGGAAAGGCCTTACACAAGACTTTACTCAAAGTATCATTCATTGATATGTCAGAAAAAGGGTTATTACTTTAAAACAGAAGTTGTTTGTAAATTCTTAGTGTCCTTGATGACAAAATACTAAACATCATCTACTTTGGTTAGGATTTGAAAAACAGAATCAGAAAACGATTTAGGGTGGAGAGGACCATCTTTTTCAATTCCCTGATCAAAGCAGGGCCCCTCAGACCGGGTTGCTACTATCCAGTCAAGTCGAGTAGCACCAAGGAAGGGGAGTCCGCAGCCCCTCTGGGCAGTATGGGCCAGTTCTGCCCACCCTTGAGGGGAAATCTTTCTCTTTTAATCTATTTGGATTTTCCCTTGCTGCATCTTGGGACTGTTGCCGCTTGCCTTTCAGCTGGCCTCTCCAAGAAGGGTCTGACTCCACCTCCTCCTTCCCTGTAGCTCCCCATTAGCTAGCGGAAGGCAGGCTGAACAAGCCCTGCTCCCTCAGCCTCTCCTCATAAAGCATGTGCTCCAGCCCCTGACCAACTTGTGGCCCTCCACTAGACTTACCCCACTGCCAATACTTTTCTGGTGGGGAAGAGTCAAAACTGGGCACAGCATGCCCCAGCAGCCCCAGGAAGTGCTCAAAGGGAATCATAACACCCCTTGACCTGTTGGTTACACTCCTGCCAGTACAGCTCCATGCGCTGCTGGCCTTCTTCACTGCAAGAGCACACTGCTGACTTACAAGCGCAACCTGTTGTCCACTACGACCCCCCCACCTCTTCCACATGGCTGCTCTCCAGTCAGCCGGCCCCCAGCCCCTCCTGTCGCATAAGGCTGTCTGCATTTGCTTTAGCTGACCCTCACGAGGTCTCCATCCGCTCATTTCTCTAGATCACCGAGGTCTCTGTAAAGGGTTCCCCAGCATACCCACTGCTCCTCCCAGTGCGTCTATCACAACCATGCTGCGCGTGCACTCCATCCCATCAGGCAGGTCATTAAAGAAGGCATCAGACAGCACTGGCCCAAGACCAACCCCCTGAGGAAGACAGGACAACAGACCAAAGGATAAACACACTGAATTCATCATCAAAAAACACCAGAAGTTGGGTACCTGGTTCTTATTTTGCAAGTTGTTACAGTGCGCTGGGTTGCTGGAGTTCACTTCTTTTAGCCTCTTGAGCAGGTTCTCCACCAAAGTATCCCGGTCCTTCAGCTCGATGAACTGAAAGGCTGTCTTGCTCCTTATGCTAACGATGATGGGATTGGGGAGAAGGCTTGTGTCCTCCATCTTCTCTATACTGATTACCTTTCCCAGAAACATTAAGGAAAACACATTATGCACCACACCCACAGAAACACCTTCAAATATTCTATATGTACCAAAAAGCACAAACACAGCGCTCATTTACACACATCCATTGAACAGGGTTATTCGTATTGACTTTCCTTGATCAGACACATCCTACCACCTGAAGTTTATGGACTCTCAGGAAGCTCGAAGCAGGCACCAAAAAGTATCCAGCTGTTCTTTTTTTGAATGACTTTGAGGCCTACTTTTGGAGAGTGGACTGAGGGGAAAGAAAGAAATGGGAGTGATGATTAAAACAAGATTTAGAAAAGGATCAGCTCGATCAAATTCTGGGGGGTGGAGGAGGAAATTTACTTTCACACTCCTGAGGACAGGGGAAAACAGTTGTTTTGTTGTTTCTGATTAAGCATATAACACTGTGCTGTTATTGTTTTCAATTTTTGTGACAGTGGGAGACAAGCTGCTACAGTTGGGATATTTTGATGTTACTCTGTTATTAGCTGAGGATAAAAGGAAAGCTTTAATTAAAAGATCATAACAGCCTTGTATCCACAGCAGATCAGGCAGGTGTTTGCTGACAGCTTCCTTCGCCTCTTCTACTCCCACCCCCTTCCCATGCATCCTCCATTCCATTTAAGTCTCTGATTTCATGGGAATGTGGCAGCTCGTTGCTGCCTGCAGAACATCCCCTCTTTTTCTCTGCCCTACGGGTCTGCAAAGCACCCACAGGTTTGCTCTGTGGAGGGAGAGCTTCTACACTTCTAAGTGTTGATCCCAAGCAAGGATGCTTCTACATTGCTAGAGAGGTCCAAGCCGAAGTCTTCATCCACATCAAGCTGGACGTATGCATTCGTGGAGCTGGGAGAGGAGCACCATCCACGCAGACTCTGGTTTTGCAGTGTCCTGCTGCTTTACCTGTCCATACTTCACTTTGAGGATCATGTTGAGCCACCTATACATGTTTTTAGGAACTCATGCCTTAGTGAGTCCCAGAACAAGCTTTACAACAACCCCACAAGTACGATACACACAAGCATCCTAATCCTTTTCATCAAACAATAGTTTTCAGATAAGCCAAATGACAGTGGATGCTTAGGGCAGAAAAAGGCAGATAGGGACTCAAAATGAAACAAACAAGCAACTCTACCTCTCTAAGTGGGATGATAACATTGCAGCAGCCATTTTCCTTGCTGGCAAAACAGATATAAGTGTCTGAAGTATACATCCTTCCTGCTGTGTGACAGCGACTAAACGGCGTCCAGAGAGAACAGTCTACAACTTCATGCAGCTTCTCCTTCCTGGGCAATCTGAAGAAGGCCCGAAAGAATTCATTCTGCGCTCTGGCTTCAAGATCCCTTAAGAGAAAGCAGGAAGAGCGAATCACAAGACCCCGAAAGCCAGGACACCCAGCGCAAGGTTTGTTTTCTTATTAGCCCTCACCAAGAGCGAAGGATACAGAATAAAAGCACCGTGCACAGCAATCTTCCCTGCCGACATGAACAGATCGATAGAAGACTGACTTTGAGATACAAAAATAAACATCATCAACACTTGCCTGTTTAACAGTAAGGTCAAAAGCAACTACCGTAATGACTAGAAAAGGAAAGGACACTCATTTAAATCAGCTGGTTTGTTAGGTTTGGGATTTTTTTTTTTTTAACTTATTATTTCACCATGCATTTTGTATGGCTGCTGTACCACTTTTCAGCCTCAAAGAGTTACAGGTTTCAATGCCCAGGAGATAACTACATCTTTCATCTGATGAACGCATATTGAGCAACGGAGATAAGCTTTATGTTCCCTTGTTTCCACTCCCAACATTCCAACATGACCCCAGGGATTTGCACCTGCACCCAGAATTAATGCATTTGCTCGATGAGGACTTCCAAAGTGGTCAGTAATAGAAGAGTTAATGATGTTGGCATTTACATCATCACAGCCTTGACTTGCAGAGGTATCAGCTTCTGAGAGAGCTCACAACACTTGCGAAATGTAAGAGTTTCAGGTCACTTACAGACTCAGTTGGAAATAACAGCATCAGCTACATTCAGTTTGGACTTGGCTTCCTTCCAATCACCCATCCACATTTATGTGGGGAGAAAAAGTTTAAATAAATGAAGCTTTCATTACTGAGCTATGGTTATACAGACTTGGCTTTAGGGATTTTTTTCTTCCTCCTCCTTTTTTAATGAAGAAGCCTGCAGTAATTTAGAGAGCTATGTAATTACATTATAAACAGGCCACGGCTATTAGATCACCAACAGCAGCTCCAGAAATGTTAGTGCTTAAATTCTATTATTTTCTGTACTACAAGTAAATTTTTCCAAACATGATTCACCTTAGGGGAAAAAAAAAAAAAAAGGGCAAAAAGCAAAAAAAAACCCAACTTGACTTTGTTCCACTGAAAGAATTTATAGCGTGGGCTGAAGCATAACAGGGAGTGGTACCTTGGTGCTGTAAATCCCCTTTCTGCTCCTTCCTTCACCCTCCTCCTCTGCAGACACCCTCCTCCTACCCCATCCCTGCTGTTTCAAAATAAGTTGAGACAGATGATGCCTCTGCTTCAGTAAGTAAATCAGCTGGGGGGTGGGGGCAGTCGTGTTTACTTCAGTCTAACCCATAGAAAAAACGAAAGCCATGTGAAACAGGGAGGAAGACGGTGGAGAACAGAGAGAGACCTGAGAAGGGTGGACCCACAGAAAAGACAGAACGCGTTCAACCAGCATTCAGCTGCTGTTTCCTTCTCAAGCATTATCTTCCTTAATAAGATTATCCAAGGAAAACAGACAAATCGTCTCCTGTTTTTTTCACAAAGAACAAAGACAAACCCTCTTTGTGAAGGAAGAGAAAAAGCTTGCTCCCCGAGTTAAAATTCCACAGCGAAAGCTGCTCTGATAAGTGCCCGCAGTGATCTGCTATTGTGACAAAGCTGGATCAGGATATGCCTCCTAGTTAACTCACCACTAAAATATTTTCCATCTCTGCACAGCACAGATGAATGCTGCTGATAGCATCTGCAGTCCAGTCCGGGTACAGCGCTGCTCTCCTGCTATTGTGCTGAGAAGGTAAGACCCTCCCTGGGTCTACTCGGTTGTGAAAATTTCTGTACCTTTACGTGGAAAGAGGCATTATACTGAAGAGTGGGACCTCTGTGGAGGCAGGGGGTGTCTGTTATTTAAGAGCTGACTGTTTCTAATGCTCCATAATCTGCAGTTTCTGAGTTTTCAGGATTTTGCTGCATCTCTTGGGGCTGCAGGCTCCAGGTGTGGGGCCTTTCAAACAAGAAGCCACAGGTTTTTAAGCTGAGGAATGGCATTTCCCATATCTGAAACCAAGTAAATTCACCAAGCACGGCATCCTGCCCCCTCACCGTGTACCGAGGGAAGGCTGCCAGCCCTAACATCCCTGGAACTGCCTGTCTCCCGTGACTCACAACACAGGGTCGCGCAAGGCCACCGCAGAGACCACACCGCAGCCAGGGCTGCCCCAGAGACAAGTGCCAAGGCAGGGGACAGACAGTTGTTTAAACATGATACAGCAAAGATGCAGCGACTGGTCCACGCCACCAGGTCCCACAGCTTTCACGCTGAGTTTCACAATGCCTCCATCGCCGAGCAGAAATGCATCCTTTCTACCTGCAGCCCAACCAGTTTGAAATGTTCTCCTCTAGCTGAACAACTCCCACGTTGGTTTGGTTTTCAAGCAAATGCAGCGGACTGAGCTGTACCTAAAAGGAATGCTATCATTATGTAAAAATAATGTTTATTGAGTGTTTACACGTGCATCAGAAGAATAAAAGGCGAGAAGATGGAATTGCCTTGTTCCCTATATTTCAGAAAACTCAGCAACTCTTACCAAGTACAGTTCCCAACTTGCACGTTACAGGATCCTGGACAGCCTCCAACTCCAGCACTTCAAAGTGAATGGCAAGTCTGAACTGCGATAACTCCTTCTGTGTGACCCCTACGTTACCTTCCAAGAGTTTTAAATTAAAGGAAATAACACACAAGACTAACAAAATGCCTAAAAGTATCAGGACACTTAAAATTACGTCCTCACCATCAAATGTTTTTCTCTGCTTTAAATCTAACAGAAGTCAACTTGGCAGGATTTTGGCTCTGCTGAGTCACTTGCTGCCTATCTAACATCTAAACAGACTGGTTCACCTCTTGCTTTTAGAGACTGATTACTAGACTCTTCTTGCTATTCAGACTCCAGAAAGTTACAGGTTTTGGAAATAACATATCCAATGATATGTGTCTTGTTTATTGGAAGAACTGATAAATTTGTGTGGCAAGAAAGGCTTCTTGTAAGCAAGCTAGGAGCTAGGAGAAGTTGTCTGAGAAGAGCCAACGTGGACTTGTCATGACAAATGTAAAACCAACATCATTCCCTGGGGTAACAAAAACACCGGACTTGTCGGTGGAGGAGATGCAATGGATGTTTTATCCAGACCTTATGAAAGTCTTGATATTTCCTCACATGGGAACTAACAAAACAAGATTGAAGTGAAAAGCTGTTGTACCAAGTCAGCTGAAAAAGAATACCCCAAAAAACAGCCCTCAAAGGCTCCCTGGCAAAGTGGAAGGCTGTATTGAGGATCTCCCTGGGCCTATGTCCTGGAATAGCTTCTGCTCAACATCTTCATCAGCAATCCACATGATGAATCAAGAGATCTTGTTATTAAGCTTGCACACAGTGTGAGTCTGATAGAGGCTAATGAGCAGAAGAACAGGATCAGGTTCAGACTGATATCCATAAACTTAAGGGATGGTGTGGAAAAAGGCAATATAAGTATTGCTGTGGGAGCGTTGATCTGCCTGAGTGTAGGAAGGCTCTGCAGAGGGATCTGGACAGGCTGGATTGATGGGCCAAGGCCAGCTGTAGGAGATTCAACAAGGCCAAGAGCCTGGTCCTGCACTTGGATCACAACAACCCCCTGCAATGCTACAGGCTTGGGGATGAGTGACTAGAAAGCTGATCATTGGAAAAGGACCTGGAGGTGCTGGTCAACAGCTGGTTGAATATGAGCCAGCAGTGTGCCCAGGTGGCCACGAAGGCCAGTTGCATCCTGGCCTGCATCAGGAACAGTGTGGCCAGCAGGACTGGGGCAGTGATTGTCGCTGTGATTGGCGCCGTGGACTGGGGACTGGTGAGGTCGCACCTCGAATCCTGTGTTCAGTTTTGGGCCCCTCCCTATAAGAACTACACTGAGGTGCTGGAGCGTGTCCAGAGAAGGGCAATGGAACTGGGGAAGGGTCTGGAGCACAAGTGCTGTGAGGAGCGGCTGAGGGAACTGGGGGTGTTCAGCCTGGAGGAGGCTCAGGGGAGACCTGATCGCTCTCTACAGCTGCCTGAAAGGAGGGTGCAGAGAGGTGGGGGTTGGTCTCTTCTCCCAAGTGACAAGCGATAGGACAAGAGGAAATGGCCCCAGGTTGTGCCAGGGGAGGTTTAGATTGGGTATTAGGGAAAATTTTGTCCACCTAAAGGGTTGTCAGGCATTGGAATGGGCTGCCCAGGGATGTGGTGGAGTCACCGACCCTGGAGGGATTTAAGAGTCGTGTAGATGAGGTGTTGAAGGACATGGTTTAGTGGTGGACTTGGCAGTGTTAGGTTAACCGTTGGACTTGACGATCTTAATGGTGTTTTGCAACCTAAAAGATTGTATGTCTCTGTGATTTTCAGCTGTACATCGTAAGCTGCAGAAATGCCGCATGGAGATCAACGCCACCGGTAGGCATTCAACAAAAAGAAAAGACCTAGGAGTTACACAGAATCACAACCTGAATGTAAGTCAACAGCCTCACACTGGCAGGAAGAAGAGGAGCACCGTGAGGGGCTGCAGAAGTGCACAGCCACCACGATGCAGCATGGCAGTCCCAGAGCTGCCGCAGAGACAGTTGTGCTGTTGCTGCCCTGGTCAGCACCAGTGAGGTGTTGGGGGCCACCCTCTATCCCATCACTGCAGCCACATGGGGTAAGTAACAGATATACAGAGAAAAGCAAACAGAAAGGCTAAAATCAGGGCCGGTAAGAAAAACCTGGCTTAAAAACCTGGGCAGTGCAGTTGCAGGAACAAAAGAGAAAGATACCAACCTCCACATACACAAATGGTTGCTCTAAAGAGAGAATATCTGATCTCAGTAGTACTGGGTAGGACAAGAGGTAACAGACTCAAAAAGCAGCACAAAAGATTCGTTAGACTTCAGAAAGACTTTTCACTGGTAGGACAGTGAACTGCCAGTATGGATCCTAATATTTCCATTATAGGAAACCCTTAAGAACAGGTTAGGCAATCATTTGTCACAAGTGACACACAAGAGAGATTCCAAACCGTTCCTTTTGCTGGGCAGATGCAATAACAGGAGGTTCTTCCTAGTCACATCCTCTTTGCTGCTCAAGGTTTTTCGCATTCTCGGATTTCCTCTCTGAAGAACTTAATGCGGATTGAAGTGATGTTTACGATTCAAGGTATTTCAGACAGTTTCCATTCCGCTCAGATCAGTGCTGAAAACCTTCTTTGCCTTCGTATGAAGCAAAGCCATGCTCATTGGCAATGCACAGTTAGACATGAAGAAAAGAAACCGAGGTGGTTAGAGCCTGGAGAAACGCAAGGCACTTTTGAAACCTTACTGACACCATCACTAAAGCTTTTGTTCGCCTGCTCTGCTCTGACCAATTTCCTCATTACATCTGAGGCATGCAGTAGATATTCTTGCATCCTGAAAGAGATGGAAATAAGAAGTACAAGAAACTTATACCTGAGATTTTAGCAACCTTCCTATTATAGATGAAAAAATAGCTGCCGTACGTTCCAGTAAAACTGGATGGCACATAAATGTATCTGCAAGAAATGGCATTTGTATTTATCAAACAACTCAGCTTTACTTTGCTCTTTATGGCAATTAACTTAATTGCCATTAATCCCTTTGTAATCCATTGTTCCAAGCCTTATCCTCTCATTAAGCAGCACGGAAACTTGTACATTAACTTGTTTGACTCTGGCCACGATATAATTTGTGTCACAGACTGTGGGCCTAATCCCACAGACTCCCTGAGTCCTGTCCCCCCACTGCTCAGCAGGGTGACCCCAAGAGCCTCAGAACAGCAGCAAAGGTACCTGGTTTTCAGAATGTAGAATACGCAGACTGTGACGGCATTAAAAATGCACTTTTTTTCAAATAAAGATACTGAGCCTCTTGCAAAAGAAAGCCTAACAAACAAAAGCAATCTACAGCATCTTCATTTATTTGACACAGCTGGAATAATTGTAATGGCATGTGGATTATTGCTTTTATTTTGATAGACCACAATTTGCTTCCAAATCATGCAGAAGAAGTAACAAAGACAATTATTAGGGAAAAAAATCAAGTGAAAAAGAATTGCTCTTGTAGTACTACAATGGCTTCAGAAAAAAAAAAAAAAAACAACCCTAGCAACAAAAACTTCACACACCAAGAAAGTTCAAACCCCCCAGTACTGTTGGCATTAAAAACCAGTTTATCCACTATTCAAACTACAGTCTTGCTTAATCTCGTCTACATCAAAGTGGTTGCTGAAGTGTGACAAAGGGCACCAGAAACAGCAACTTATCCAGCCCCTACCTGTCTAATTCATGCAGAGGAAATGGGATTTCAGCATCTTCCAGGTTCTGCCATCTCACCTTACAGCATCAGCAGAACAGGTTAGAGAACATCCCCAATAAACATAATTTTAGTCTCCCTTCTCCTTTCCCCATACCTCCTTTTTTTTTTTTTTTTTCAAGTTGGAGGGGAAGAAAAAAGCCTGTTTCAATAAATGTGTGGGATGGTTTCTGTGGCTTGTGTGCTAATAGACATACTACTTTTCAAAAATGCCACAAGGTACTTAGAGTTTGATTCCCTGAGAGCCTCCTTATTACAGCACATTACTAAGCTTATACTTTGTCACTGCAATTTCAGTTTCTGTGTAGCTTTCCATTCAGTCAATATCCCTGATTCAAAGACTCATTTGGGAAGTTGACAACGATGATTTTAAAATCACTAGATGCTAAAAATATCTCCCCCCACCAGTTTCTTGTTATATTTCCTCTGGACTTACTTTTCTTGCTTAATGCATCTAAGTTTTCAGTCCAAAACCAGGAGGAATATGGGATGGTAAAGCATGGAAGGGGGTTTAGATACAACTCAAAGCCATATCCTACATTAGTCAAAGTACATATCCTACATTTCCTGGGCCAAAAGCCTACAATGTTAACAACATCCAGTAAAAACAACAGTAGCGCCTGTGTTCCAGGCAACCCTGGCTATGAAAAACCTGCAAAGATGCTTGTGGCTGCTCACCACTGTATCACTTCAAATGAATTCCCTGATGATATCATGGATGAAATCCTGGTGTCAGTGATTTTCCTTATCGGGTGTACATAGGAAACAGCAGAGAAAGTGCGTTTTATTGTTTTAAAACCCATTATGAAACTTGGCAGAAGTGTTTGCCGAGATGTATATCCAACACCACTGCAAAAGTGACCCTCAGAAACAATAGAATGGCTACTGGATGTCTCTCTTTTTTGGGAAAGGATACCACACATTCCTTATGTTTTAGCCAGGAAGCAACACCTGGGTAATTCCCTTCATGCCTCTGGCAGAGGGAGAGGAAGGAAGAGCAGGAAAGGGAATGATTCAGGGGGGAATAAGCACTCCACTCACACCCCATTCAGAAAAGTAGTATGTCAAACCAGCAGTTTAGCCCTGACGCCCCAGGCAAATTCCAGTCCGGGTTATTCCACCCTGCCCACCTAAAATTCCTCTGAGCAGTTTCCTTTCCCCTTCCCCACAACAGCAAATAAAACACGAAGTTGTGTGTTGTGCTACCGGCAGAGAAAGAATTATCCATCTTTCCCCTGAGAGCCCAATGCATTTCTGTAGTGGGAGAGGAATGTGGAGATGCATTTCGGGGACGCATAGGGTACAGCTGACAACAGCAAATGAATCTGCTGCAACGGCCCGCGTGGGTTTTTCAGTCCCATAGCTGCTTGCTAAATCCCCTATGGTAACCACACTAGTGGGAAACTCCATGTTTCAGATACGATAAAAAGCAGTAATTCTACAGAATTGATGGCACTAGGAAAGCCTACACACAGCCAACAAGATAAACAAAATAATGTTGCTCTTCAGGGAAAATATCTCTGGCTGCAACCTACCTTTCTACGGGGAACGTAGAAACAAGCTGACAAAAAAACACAGTGATGTTTAAGGGAAGAATCTAAAGTGGAAAAAAGTGTCTTGCACACAAGTTAAAATGCACCTACTGGATACACCATAATGCATTATAAAATCTCTTTTGCACCCAAGCAAGTAAACCTTTGATGTGTTACCCAGCTAACAAAGCAAACCACGACGCCCACCATCGAACCGCCACTCACACAACAGTTTAGCTCTTTACCTCTTGGTAATCTGAGTAGGATCCTGTAGGCCTGGATCCAGTTCAAAGATCTCATTATCCAGTAGCCTTCGGAGCGTCACATCTGCCAGCTGCTCCATGATCCTGAAAGCCTCGGCGATATTGAGGAACGTGGAGAAGTCGCGCTCTTTATTTGGAGTGGTGACGCGGACCGTGTCGGTCATGAAGACGTTGGAGGTTCTTTCCAGCTTCTGAACCTCAACCCAAGGAATGATAAGTTTCACTGCCATTGGAGAAAAAGCAAAAGTGGGTTGGAGACTCCGTGTCATTTTTCAGATGTGGGAAACAGGCACATTCTGAAGGAAATGCAAACAACCAAAGAAGAGAGAGACCCATTTTCACAAAGCCAAAGCCGAAATGCCTGTTATTACTCTACATTCATCCTCCCCACACTCCAAAAGATCGGTTTTTTCGGAATCTCTCCCTCAAAACTGTACCTGTTTTCATAAGAAGGGCTGGACCGGAGAGTCATACCTCCACAGAACACCTGCCCTGTGCTGTGCTCCTAACCCCCTTACAAGGCATTTCTGCAGCCGCCTTCATTACTGCTGAAAGAAACAGTTCAGGAGCAGGAAGAAAATAGGGAAAGGCTTTGTAATCTCCCAGAAATAAAACTGTAGGGAGGTGGAAGCCCAGTTACATGCACAGTGCTTTTAACTTTTAAAATAAAGCTAACTCCCACGCAAAAGGAAGCTTTTGCACATGGGCATTTTTATAAAGTTGAAGCGTTACTATAAACAGAGTTCGAATAAAAGCTGCCCGAGCACTGGGATCTTTCCATTTTGGTTACTCCTGACTCAAACGGTGCACAGGCAAATCTTGCCTTAAATGTTAACTGTAGTTAGACTTGTTTGCTGAAAAGGAAAAGTATAGGACAGTGTTGTCTATACATAAACACTGTTGAATCCTGTAAATACAAACGGTAACCAGAATTGTCTTATTTTATATAGCCACTGCAGGATATTATGTGACTCTCTCATACAAACCTCTGGATAGAAAACAGTCTGGAAGAGACTTTAAAATAGAGTAAACTTCTACTTAACAACTGCTGGCAGCTTCCCAGGACTCTCTGTGCCAGTAACATCAAGGCTACACCCCCTGACATCCCTAGCTGGTCTCTTGATGCCAATAAAGCAATAAAAAAGGCAGTAATAACAAACATTGTCCTATAGATATGACACTTAGCCGTGATCATTAATTGCTGAAGGAGCTACCCTCAGCAAGTTCTCTGTACTGCACGAACCGCAGTTGTCAAGATTATTTGCAGATTACATTTTTCCTTACTTAAATAAAGCACAGCTGCGCCAACACGCACAAACTGTTGCGAAGGGCCATAAAATCATCTGCAGTGGCACAGCCAAGAGAAGAAGGATTAAACGGCGCTGTAGCAATAGCACTATTGTTCACGCAGGTCGGAATCACGCAGGCTGTACAGTGGTAGTTACAGGAACAGCGCAGCAGACTGTAAGGGGCCCAGACTACTGATGAAAGGTACAAAGTCTTCAAAGTTTTAGGAAAACAAAAGTTTAATTAAAAAACGTGAAGAAACCCTGGCACGTCCTTTCAAGAAATCTGATGTTCTAAGCCTCAGAAATTCTGCAAATACTTAGAGGCTTAGATAAAAGGGGACTTGTCCTGGAAAAAATGTTCCAGGGAGTTTATGCTTGCTTAAGCCGTAAATTAATTTTATGAGACGCTGAAACCAGGTTCCAATATCACATTCCAGGTCATTTCAACACAAAATAAAACAAGGGGAAGGGGAGATACTTGCCAGAAGTAGAAGACTTAATGCTTAGCCTATAAAGAAATTTTAGTCTACAATTTGGGGGGATTTTTATAGTTAAAACACATTTAAGAACTATTTTTATTGCAACTCATATATTGGGTTTTCCTCCCTTGTGCTGTTTTGAAGAATGCAATAAATGTCATTTCTTAGCAGTATGTTCAAGACCAGATTTAACCGGATTTAATTTGTGATTGCTACCTGAACAAAAGACAACTTGTTCTACATATAATCAGCATCAGCTTCTCAAACAGTAACAACCAGAACTATGGTAAATCTGGATTATTCAATGTAATACAAGTATTTCATAAATGTGACAAAACACTAGCTTTGAAACAGAAGCAATCTCCTTTGTCAGGATCAGGGAGGTGGGAAGCACTTCAACATATAATGCTTCCCACCGAGCTAGAGAAGATTTGTTTAACCAAAGGAAAATTCAGGGGTTTATTTCACATTTCCATGCAAATGCATGGGAACACAAAGGCAATGCAACTGACTGCAACAGCGTATTGTCCATGGACAAAATGAAAAGCTGCAAACATGAAGTTGTTTGGGGTTTTTCTGCATTTTCATAATGAGTTATTATTAAAAGAGATGAGAAGTGACTTTTTAAATAATACAGCGTGATGTTGTGCTTCCAGTATCATTTCATGATCTGTGGTATTGCCTAAACAGAACTTTTGAAACAATATGAAGGATATTTCTCTCTCCCTCCCCCTTTCTCCATTATCTATCACTAATAAGATTCATTTTTGCTTTGTGTGCTTTGGCAGGCAGGATATCTCAGATTTAATGAGAGAAGGCCTACAAAGATAACCAGAAGAACTGATTCACAAAGGATATTATTTGAAACGAAACAGAAAACAAGGAGAGTAAAACTGAACTCAAATACCTCCCGCATATCAAGAAAATCCATTACAGTCTTCCCGCAAAAGTCAACTTTTGTTTTTATAACGAATAACGGAATTTAAATCTAACTCTGCCACCTTTTGCAGATATGACAAAATAATTGGCTTGAAATAATATAAGCAAAAAAGGACCTCTACCTCTAAGCGTGCCTCAGAAATTAACACTTACTCTCCTCCTTATCTTTACACTAATATACTTAATTTTTAAATCTAGAGCTTTATTTGACTAGCCATCCCTACATTAAATCCAGACAGTAAATGTTAAAGTTTTCCTAATTGCTGTAACTGACAATTCTTGCTGTATTTATAGCAATGTAGGTTTATATTACTGTCCTTGCTGAAGTTGGAGCCGGATAAACAGGACTTGCAATGTTTTCCGTTCACGTACAATTTTACCTAACAGAAATGCTATGGAGTTTAAATAGCTACATTCATTTTTTCCATCTAATGTCCATTACGTTCATTTTTACCTTCTAATATCAATTCTGCTAGGTTTTTCATAATCACATGACCCTTCCTCTGCAGAGGAACACTGTGATCAAGGTCTTACAGCTCACTTCTTAAAAACATACGTTTGTTACCGTCACTGTCACATACAAATTTCCCACTGTCTGAAGGTCTTCTTAAAAACCCTGGGACACACTTCTCATGCTGCTCCTGCACTGCCGATCAGACACACAAAGGAATCCCTAAACTGCTGTTGTTTTCCCTTAAAAACTCTGGATTTTCACCCGGTTCTGCAGGGCACAACCCTGGGATGTTTCTGGGGCTGCTGCCAGGCAGGCAGTGGCACCCCTGGCCCCAACAGCTCCGTCCACTGGTGCCCTGCAGCTTCCCTGGGCTTCCCTGCCCTGGGAGGGGCCTGTCCTTACTCTCACTGTTTTCAGCACTAAAAGGCTCTATTTCAGAATCTGTAGGAGGTCTGTTACATTTTAAGGCTGCATCACCACAGCACGAAAAAGAACCAGATAGCAGCTGTGTGTGCATACTCTTATAGTCTCATTTTTATTACTGGATTAAGACTAAAATATAAACATAAAGGGTGAAAACCAAATAAACAGGAACTTTCAGCTGAACAAGAAAAAACTCAGAAACTAAACTTCAGCGGCGAACTAGGCTTTTCATAGAAATTCCAGCTATTCTTGCTTTTTAAAACAGTTATATTTATATCTCTCCCCAGCATCAGATTTCTTACGCATTTACACTTACATTCTTTGCCCAGGAAGAAGGAATAAAAACAGAGATGATTGATGCTCAAATAAAGCCAGCCTTGCCGGGGAACTTTTCCTTTCCAACAGCAACAGGAATAATAGGTGATCAACTTCTCGGCTTCAGGAAAATTAAATCTGGATTCAAATTTCACCAGGGCTTCTCGGAACTTCTCGGGGTCTTCCTCCTGCTCGGCGAGCTTGCTGCTCGTTTCCTCCGCAATCAGCGCCTGAGTCCATAACGAGGTAATGTATCAGGGTAAAGCTACGGCATTCACACTCGAGCAAGTCGCTACAAGCTACCCAGTCCAATTTTAGTAACGCAACCCTTCCTTAAACACAAACTCAAGCTGATTAGCAATTTTCACAAATGGAGACGTTTCTGCGGTGTTTGCATCTCTCATACATTTTGAATGCTTCCAAATCAAGACTTCTGGGCCCTTCTTTAATTTGTTTCTTTATATTCAATTATCTCTGCCAGAACCATCCACGTACAGTTTCACTACAGCTTATGATTGCTGTCACTTGGTCTACTCAGAGCAAAGGCAGAGTAACAACTGCGTGCACTGAGCAATACTATTCTCCTATGAAGAGGCAATGCAGCGAGATGTGTCTGTAACGTCTAACATGCTTGGAGCGATTAAAGACATTGTCTGAAGAACGTCTACGTAAAGATAATTAAGCGTGGAGAATTTTAAATAGCGGTATTACAACAAAGGAGTTAAGTCTATATTGCACCATTCAGACAAATAGTCCCTAGGTACCAGCACCTGATATAATTTGCAATTAACGAGCAGTCCTAATATGCCAAAAGTCTACAGCAGAGGCAAGGGTCCAAAGCCTGGATATAACATTAACTAATGAAACCTGAAGAATTTTAAATACGTGCTGTCATAGGTAACAGCCTGCCACAGCGTTATCAAGAGAGGTTAATGGTATTTGCGCCTTTCAGTGCACTCAAAGCTGTTTTTTTAAGAAAGCAGGATAAAACCTTAAGATTTACAAGACGATATTTTGCCTCCCTATCCCCTTCTTCCCCATCTTCACTGCCTGCTGAGATACCAGCGGCAGTGTTGAAATTCGCCAAAAATATTACGTTCCCAAAAATTTTCCAGACCAAAAGAGTGGGTATAAAGGGGGAGAGTACCTGACTAAACCTCTCAGCAAGGAAAATCTTGCATCAGGACCTGAGGTACAGTAGTCACCAGCAGACCCGCACCCCCACCAGCCATCACCAAGCATGTGTTTTACTGGAAGCAGAGCTCAGGGCACCAGACTTTTTGAGTTTTACTGTAACCTGGTCTCCCACCACCAAATTCCCCTACTTTTAAAATTCTCTAGCCTTCCAAAAGGATGCTCATTTCTGCAACCCTGCTGCCAGCCAGCAGCTCCACTGCAACGCCTGGCCACGACTCCCACACCCTGCAAAGCCTCCAGCAGTTTCCATGCTGGACCTTACAGTGCGGGTGACGTTGCACAAGGGCCTGACCCCATCCCTGTGCTGCAGGGACTGTGTCATTGTCCACACATTCGTGATGCCAGGAGGTTCAGGCACCATGGCTATCACCTGCCAATACCTCTGAGCCCCACTGAGAGGGACAGGAGTATAGAAATGGGCAGAAACAGGTGGGATAAAGCTAGGAAAAGCAGAGGAGATAGCTTCCGTTCCTATATCTGAGGAGGAGAAATGTAGTAAGGAGGAAAAGCTATTTAACATAATGTTTTAGAGAGAGGAAGGAACTGAAAGCAGATGCTAAAGAAAGCTCAGCTGCACATGACTGGAAAGAGAACAGTGAAGCTGGAAAGGGATAGGTGGGATAAAGATTAAATTAGGTACTTGTTGGAGCGAGTCCAGAGGAGGCCACAAAGATGCTCAGAGGGCTGGAGCACCTCTGCTATGGGGACAGGCTGAGAGAGTTGGGCTGGTTCAGCCTGGAGAAGAGAAGGCTCCAGGGAGACCTTATAGCCCCTTCCAGTACCTGAAGGGGCTACAAGGAAGCTGGGGGGGACTTTTTACAAGGGCCTGTAGTGACAGGACAAGGGGGAACGGGTCTAAATTGAAAGGGAGGAGGTTTAGATTGGGTATCAGGAAGAAATTCTTCATGGAGAGGGTGGTGAAGCACTGGCACAGGTTGCCCAGAGAAGCTGTGGATGCCCCATCCCTGGGAGTGTTTAAGGCCAGGCTGGATGAGGGTTGGAGCAGTGGAAGGTGTCCCTGCCCGTGGCAGGGGGGGTTGGAACTGGATGGTCTTTAAGGTCGCTTTCAACCCAAATCAGTCTGTGATTCTATGATTCTATGATACTTTGGTTCTGAGATGTTTCCAAGGAAATGTGAGTGGAGATGTGGCACACAGAAAACAGATAAATAATGTTTAGATGGACAAAGCCAAATATGAATGACAACAGCTTCATGACATTATTTCTAATAAATCACATGCCATCAGGCAGGGAAGGGTGAAAGTAAGACAGTTTCCTTACCTTCACTTTCCCTTTGACAAAACTAACAATATCTTCTTTATTGTCAAACACAGACAAGGTATGGAGCAAGTTTTGTTCCAGCCATTCCCAGTGCTGGTTTATCTCCTCTGCAGTGGCACCTAGAAAAGCAAAAAGTAGTGTATTGAAACTCACCCTGCAAAATAAAATTGAAAGGAAAAGAAAAAAAAAAAAGTAATAAAATGCACTATTTCATAAATTAATTCTGAGAAACTGAACTTTCAACTTCAAAATTCTTGGTAACAAACAGGTCGAAAAAGCCTCCTTCATAGTAGCATAATTAGAGAAAAAGAAAAATGTCATTGTTTTAGAGAATTAGTTTTAGTGCTTTTAGTTTTATCTTCTCAAACACTCTCAGCCAGGAAATGCTACATTTTAAGTCAAAGCAGAAAAACCAGCAAACTTCATTCTGAGCTCCCAGACTGCAGCTTATTTTGAAATGACATTCCTTAAGCGGCCACTGGAAACCTTTGATTTAGGTCCTGTTCCCAAAAGTCCCTGATCTTCCCTTCTCCCTCGGTACTCCCAGGCATACACACACACCCCGCACACGCACGCATATGCTCTGAAGGGAATTTACGTGGTCATAAATGGCATCCTACTTGAAAAGCTCTCTATAATAATTAAAGTACCTAAAAATAAAGGAGTTTGATTCAGCAACACCTAAAAGGTCTAGATGAGCACACTTCTGCAGTTTGGGAAAAAACCACTGTGAACAAGAAAGACATTGAGGTCCTGGAGCGTGTCCAGAGAAGGGCCACAAAACTGGTGAAGGGTCTGGAGAATATGTCTTATGAGGAGCGACTGAGGGAACTGGGCTTGTTTAGCCTTGAGAAGAGGCGGCTGTGAGGAGACCTGATCACTGCCTACAACTACCTGAAAGGAGGTTGTGCAGAAGTGGGTGTTGGTCTCTTCTCCCTAATGACAGATGATCGGACGAGGGGGAATGGACTCAAGCTGCGCCAGGGGAGGTTTAGATTGGACGGAAGGAAGAAGTTCTTCACCGAAAGGGTTATCATGCACTGGAACAGACTGCCCAGGGAGGTGGTGGAGTCACCATCCCTGGATGTGTTTAAGAGACGGGTGGATGAGGTGCTGAGAGATATGGTTTAGTGGTGGACAGATACGGTTGGACTGGATGATCTCTAAGGTCTTTTCCAACCTAGTGATTCTATGATTCTATGAACAGAAAAATCTTCAGACAAATAAAGACTTTCAAATCTTGAAGGTTTTCTTAAATAAGGACTCACTTAAGGGTTTTGCTGTCGCTGTTTTACATGTAACATGTTCACACTAACTCCAGAAATAATATTTCAGTCACCACCTATTTGCTTTGGCAGTTTCTGCTGGAAACTGAACTGTCGCTGCATTGCACAATGACAGAAAAGTCAGAGCAAGACAGGCAGCACACAGGGCAGTCAGGGGAAAGTCTGGCTGCTCCAGCTCTTACTGGTCAGTGATTAAACGTTACAGGTAGAAAAGCAAAGGCAGCAAAAGTTTTCCAAGGCCTTGCTAGTGGAAGAAGGGAAAGAAGTAGTTGAATGTTAGAGATATGCACATCACAGATGAATATAATCATAAAATGAATCTCCAACAAAGACCCATTATCTCAAGATCTGATTTCTGTGTCCATTAGAGATGCCTCACGTTGCCTCACAACAAAAAAATGATGAATTTAGCTAAGAATTTTCCACCTTCCTCTACGCTGTTTTCCATGCAGAATGCCAACTGGCAGAGAAACTTTCCAAGCTTCAACTTCCTTGACAGGAAGGTCTTCTGATGGAACTTCAAATATCATTAATCAAGGTGAAATTAAAAAAAAAAAATAAAGAAGAGACACTTAAATTCCTTTTAGGTAAAGAAAATAAATTCTATCAATGAAACTGTAAATAGTCATTCTGTATTAAAATGGCTGTGCAAAGCAAGTACTAAGTTAAACTGTTATTTCTGAGCAGTCTAAAAGATAGCAACTGTATGGGAGAGCTGGTGAAATAAGTGAAATAAGCCGTGAGCAAGACGCCTTTCCTAGCAGCATCCACACTGCTCAGACTGCTCTGAGCCCGGGCTCTGGCAGTGGTTCCCTCTCACAAGGGCTACTCATAGAATCATAGAATCA